TTTTGCTTTTTTATTTTTTATATATGCAACATTTAGAGTACATTTATTCTCAACTATGGTACATATCATTAGATTTACGTGACAAATTCTACTGTTTCTGCTGCTCAGAAAATCTTGACTCAGATTTTTCAATTTTAGAGTTTTAGTTGGTCAGGCATGTACCAGTAATGACCTACATTGACATACGCAAGTAACACTGATAATTAGTTAATGAGAATTATGCTGAGTTTAGTTTTTTTTGGAAAGGTACAGGATAAAGATTGATAAGTTCTAAAACATATTGTTATACAACATAAGATTTGAGGATGCCATCACATAATATGATAAACATGTTCCTATTATATTTGAACGTTGACATCTCAAAACACTGATATCTTGAACTTTGACATCTCAAAACACTGATATCTTGAAGACAGAGGGTACAAGTATGTTGAAGTAGGTTGGAATTCAGCTTTCACTTGCCTGGTTTCAAACCTAAAATATGGCATCCCTTCTCAACCTGCAATGGTAAATAATTCCTGCACTTTCCAATATACTAGTACGCTGATTTCAAGCTAATTAAATGTGTATGTAATCCTTTAGAAAGTTGTTTTCTTTATTCTAGTATAATAATTCTTCTGTTACTGGACAGGTATTAAATTTTGTTTTAAAAAAAAAAGAAATAAGCAAGGTTTAAATTTAGATATAAAACTGAAATATTTTTTAACAATTTTAGGACAGATTATACAAACAAACTTTTGTCAAAGAATTTGAAAATAACAACTTGGGTCATGTTTAAATCAGTAAAATTAATAACTTTCCTCACGACAAGTACTTTTTAATTCATATTTGCATAAAAATGGAATTTGAAGTGAAAAATATTTGTATAGATTAATAAGGATAGTTTCAAGAGGGCAGACTTTTGAACATCACAGAAGGTTTACAATTTCTTAATATTCTAGAAATTTATTAATACATCATTAATTTGCAATTAAATTATGCCAAAAAATATATACCAATCCAGGCATCCATTTTTTGTTTGTATCATCTGCCCTTAATTTACTTTTATATTTTAAGAATGGTTACCTTGAAAAGAACAGAATCTAGGCTGTCTGCTTTCTTGCAGAATGCACTTGAACTTCAGTCATGGCCTATTTGGTCCTGTTTTGGTTTACTGGTCTTACTTTTTCTTTATTCATCTTATATGGTAAATCCTTTGATGAAAAAATGATGAAAATAATTATTTTCCTAGGAACATGATCAAAAGGAAAATTCATTTCATTCATACACAGACATGTTCATGTGTGTGATCATCTTACCAGTAGTGAATATTTGCCTGAGTATCAATTAATTTGTTTAGAATATTATAAAACATGGTCAGTGTGTACAAAACAAATATCATTATAAATCAGAGGTGAATATTCTACATGTACATGTATATAGTTTTATTATACCCTCCGCTTGAAAAGTGGTAGGGTATACTGTAATCGGTATGTTCGTCTAACTGTACGTCCATCTGTCTGTACATCCGTCTGTCTGTTACGCTTTAGGGTACCCATCTCTTATTATCCACAACTCCTCTTATACCACTGCAATGAGTGAAATTTAATGAACCTTTCACAGAATCTTTATTACATATTGTCATTGTGCACCTCCTATTTTAGTTTTTGATTCGACGCATATTTTGGGTTTCCCGGCCACAGTAGAACATGGATTTGTCATCAGTTATAACCATATGGGAGGCAGGTGGTATCATTTAGTGAGCTCAATGCTCACAGGACCTTTAGTTAAATTTTGTTTTAACACTTATACATATGTACAAGTGTACATATATATATTTTTACTGTTTGCTATTTGAAAAGATAATTATTATTCACACAAAATTGAACTATAGATTATACAGTACCGGTACTTCACAGATGAATGAAAGAGTCTATATAAACAAAAATAACTCAATATTTCCAGTGCATTCTTAACCTAGATCTATTTTGTCATTACATATAGTACAGTAGTTTTGGATATATATAATAAATTTAAAGTTTAAAAGATAGAAGCTTTTAAATAAGGCAATGACATCAAAACAAACATGCTGTTTTCCTATTTTCTGCTTATGAACATCACATGACCATATTTTGCTGATATATATAGAATACTATTTAAAAAACTTATCTACTTTATTCTTGTGCTCACACATTATAAACGTTTGATGCACTTTTTTATAGAAACAAATTAAACTTGCTCTAGTTAATATTTTAACAACACAATTCTGTAAAATATGTGCCTTATGCAGGGTCCGACACTCGTCAAAATTTAGTCTCGCCATTCAGGCAACCTTGGTATGATCACAGGTTGCCCAAATGAATTTCAGGTCGTCCAAATAAAATATCAATTGAAACAAAACTTAATTGTTTATAATTTGTTAAGATAATTAATAGAAGTTGTGTTTTTGCATTAAAAAATGTAAACCAGACATTTTTGGAATTTAAAGATGTCTTGTAGTGTTTTATCAAACAAAAATATAAGCAGAATCAGACATGCAGAAAGCTTAAGTTTGTAGCTTAAAACATTCATTTTCACTTGCCATGAAGGCCTAAATATATAGGGTCAAATAACTGGACTGAATTAATCAGGTGTTACATTACAGTGGCCACCCAAATTGCATGGCTGTGTAGCAGCAGAAAACGATCATTATGAATGATCAGAAAGTTGTAGGGGAAATGCAAGATGTTACAATGATGATTATTACTATTTATATTAATAAGGTGATTTGACTAAGTTGGCATATTTTATATCTCAAATAATACTTTATTAAAGTAAAAATTGCATCAGCTAATTGATCGAACGAAGATTTGGCAGGAAAAAAAAATCTTCGCGGCTGCAATTTAAACATGTTGAAAGGGTTGGTTTTGTTACAGGAAAATATGTTTTCAAGGTCTTTATGAAGTTTAGTTTAAAATATTAAAGATCATTATGAAATATTCCCAACTTGTCCCAGGTCGTCATTTGGGCGAGCCAGACTGAAAATCAGCTCGTCCAAAGTCATTTTAGGGTGGAAATGGCGAGGTGACGATCGTGAATGTCGAACCCTGCTTATGCCAATAAAGAATTGAAATAATAGGATAAACAATGAATGAAAACTGACAGAAGTGGAAATTTATTTTATAAAGATAAATAATGTTTACTTAAAAGTCTCTCTCAGCACATCATAAAAAGTAAACCTACTGAATGGCACAGATTGTACACATGTACAATCTCTATATAGACATTTATATTTCGGGGGGGGGGGGGGGGGTCAGCTGTCTCAGCAAGTGATGTTTATATGCTTCAAATTCATTTTTATTAATAAAAATAATTAATTCATTGGTCAGAAAGTCAAACTGTCAAAAGGTATAGTTCGCTTGATTTGATAAGGACCACTGACCACTACACCGGTAAAACAACTGGGTATTGTAAGGCAAATAAAATTAAGAAAATATGCATTTGTTAATCTTGATATTTTTGTAATGCTCAGTATATACATAAATTTACCTTCTGTCTTCATTGTTTAAGATGTCTAGCCTTCTTTTCTTCTTCCAGACTGTAAAACTTTGATGAGATCTTTCGCCAGAAAATATTCATTGCTGTTTACTAAATACACATTGTACCTCCAAACGTTAGAGAGTAGTTCAAGGGAAGTAATTAGGAAGCAAAAAATGCTTCAAAATGTAGAAAAAAGTAATTTTTACCTTTGAATTCCTTTTACATCTTTGAGTCCCCCACCAATATTTTACATGTTTTGATATAATCAAATATTAGCCTTTCATAATTAATAATTACTAAATTTGTAATCAGTGTGCCTTTTTTTGTTTTAAGCCTCCAAAAACTCCACTAAACCAATCACATATCTGATATGTTATAATATGTAAAATGGCCATTTACTTTTGAGAAATTAAATTAAAACTACAGATATAATTACTTTAATCTGTAGTATTAAATTTAAATAATGAAAACATATTAAGTTATCCCTTTTCATTTCTGGACACAGTTTTTCTTGATAAGTACACGTTTTTCAAAATTAACGAAATTGAGATTTTGCACCCCGTTTCTATGGCAACCAAGGGTCTATTTCATAAACTTACTTTAGATTTTACAATTAATGACATAGCTGTTTAAAATTATTATAAAAAAATCAAAATGTTTTTCTATGCGTGGCCAACCAATTTTGATAATTACAGAGAATTGATATTAAAAACCTGTGCGGATTCCGTGTCTTAGCCGTGCCCAAACCGTGCCTATTCCGCCTTGAACTTTGGTACGGGATGATAGATGAATACTGATCCCAATCAGAATTAAGACGAAGAAAAACAGAAATAAAAAAATCGAGGCGGGGGTTTAAAATCGGGGCGGGAGGGGATGAGAATCTAGGAATATTTTTATTATGGCCTTATTATATATAAATATATTTATGCAATAGAAATTAGCTTTTACGGTATTTAAATTCTCACTTTGCAAGGGAAATTTTTTTTAAATTTTAAATTCAATATAATTATAATGGCATTCTGAGAGTTGTAATGTAGTTGAGTGTACATGAATATAAAAATTTAATGACTTCTATGAAAGAATATTTTCCCTGGTATTGCTCTACCTGTTGTGGAACTGGTTGGTTGGCATAGATCATGGTGCCCCTGGGTAATCCACTTCCTGTGCTGGGGTCACCAAGGAAGGTCACTCCAGTCATGGTATTCCTAAGAATACTGAGGTATGGACCAGGGGGGGGGGGAGGGGGGGGGGAGATTGATTGGCGTCCAGCAACATCTGATTCTGTACAAAACACAGTTTACAATTTTTAACTTGACAAAGTATTATACTATATATTTAATAAAGACTCATTTTTCAGATTCACAAACATTTTACCTCACTTATTTAATGATGCTGCGTTTGAGTTTAAGATTGAGCTCTTTGTAAACAAAGCTCTACTTTAATTTTGCTTAATCCAGAAATTTTAAATTTTTAATCATTTCAACTTACTCACAGCCTGACTGTCAAGCTTGCTGGGTGGAGATGGAGGTTAACCCAATCCTTGTGTAGTAGCCTAAGTCTGTTGCAGTGGACTTCCAAAACAGTCTACTTCCTGTAATATAAAAATACATTTTTTAGTACATGTATAAAATGTCTCAGCTAATCATTTGTTAATAAAGATTTAGTGGGAAAAAAATGAACAACAAGATTTAACAAACCTGAATTATTACAATCCTTTGCCAGGGACTTCAGAATATCAATAGTGGATCCACAATGCTGAATGATCTCCTTAGTGAACTCGATGTCCTGTAGATACTGAGCGAGCACCGTACAGGCTTGGGTCTGTAGCTCGGCCACCACACGACTCACCTGATTACTGAGACTGTTACCATCCCCTGTCACAGGTAAAGTCTGTTGAAGGGGGCAGGTCCCGTCGTCCTGGGGGAGCAGAATGGCTTTGATTGCCGTCACCAGGGACTCCCTCACTGGCACACTGGCAGACTTGTAGATCTGGATTAAAATAAAAAAAGAGGCCTTAAACATTTATGATTAGCTTTATAATGTATTCAAACTCATCCAGTTTCTCTCTTCTTACATTGTATACAAGTAAATCTCTAGTATTTATTAAATACATGCAATAATGCTATTAATATGTTTCTTGGCATAGAAAAATCTCCTTATTTTAATACAGATTTGAAACAATGTGCATATCCCTTAAAATCTTAAGATTTTGAAAATATGTATTCATTTATTTTAATAGCTCATTTACACTTTTCAACTGAGAAATTTGTGTGTTCCTCATTTTTATCTCATTCCTCACAGGGATGAGCCTGGTTAGCAGAACCTGAATGGAGTCACTGAAGCGTGAATGTCTGTCCTCCTCTGTCTCCGGATCTAACTGAACCGTGACCATCCCAGTGTCTGTTCTGACACACTTAACACTGAACCACAGCTATCATCTATAGTCCTGGTCCTAGCATCTGTGTCAAATAACAAGAGAAATACAGTCTAGAATAATGGCAGAAAGATTACATGTACATCAGAATTTACATACAACAAAAGATATTTATCATTGGCAGATCCAGAGAGGGGTTCCAGGGGTTGGAACCCCTCCCCTTTTATTTTTGGCCAAGTGGTGATAGAGAGAGAGAAAAAGAGAGAGAAGAGAAAACATTTTCCGAGAATAAATATTTGTACGTCTAACTTATGTATTAAAGATACTATAGATAGATTCTCACACATTTTAAGTTTCCTCCATTCACCTTCACTACTACTTTTTTTACGAGAGAATGGTAGAATATTTAATAGTCTACTTATTTTTATATATCTTATATATTATATATAACATGTGAGATTTAATTCAACATTTTCGCTATCTTTGGCCATGTTGGCTATATATGTACTGTTTTTTATCATATCTTTTGAAGGAACTAAAACGCAATGCTGTTTTAAACCCCATCCACACCCTACCCCAAAAAAGTTTTTTCAAATTCTAAAGGAGAATCTTTGTACTCTTCAGAAATACTGCAAATCCATTCAATTTCAAGGCTACAGTAGTTTTTGAAACCTGTTTGTTTTTTTTTTATTCGGACTGGGGGGTACCTTTTAAAAGAAAAAAGGGACGTAAACAAAGTTATTATTTACCACAACCTTAGATCTTTCCATACCTGTGTATGAATCTTTGCTTAAGAGTGTGTAGGGGGGGGGGGGGGGGGAAGAGGAACACAAGCCTGGAAAACCCCCTTTCAAAAATGGCTGGATCTGCCCCTGTTTATAAAACACTTTTAAATGCCTCCTTTCCCAAAATTAGAATTTTTCAAAGTCCAAGGGGCATAACTCTGACAAAAATTGGTGCACTCATACCAAGCTAACTTTCCCTAAGTTAACGTACCCTCTGAACAGCTTGTGACAAGGACTTAGCTGTGTGTGTCTCGGGAGCATTTCACCCTACCCCTAGGGTCATGAGTTGAACAAAGAATGAGGTGACTTGCGGCCCCTCGTATACTGACAAAAAATTAAATGTCTAAATTTTACTCAAATTTTTGTATGTAACTTATCACTGATATGTGAACCTTTATAGAATACTATTTTTAACAAAAACAGAGACGTGATTTGAAAGATATAGATCTTTTATTGGGGTAGGGGTATCATGTTTACATTCAATTCCCATTGCATTTTAACCCCACCCCACTCTTTGAAGCCCTTGAAATATACGAGCGCAGGTAGGTACAATTTTCTCCTTTGTCTGGTCACTGTATTGTATTGAAATCTACCTATAGGTGAAAGGAGTAAATTGTACCTAACTGCGCTCACATGCTATTTTTCAAAATATTGTAAAATCTGGTTGGCCTTTCCCATTATAAACAGATCGACGGAACTAGATTTTCAGACGTAAGAATGAATTCATATGTTAATCGAGGCACAGTCAATTCTTTCTTACTGACCAATCAGCTAATTGAAATTCGTTACGAGTGAGTACCACAAAAATACTATGGAAACATGCTTGGAAGTTTACTGCTTTTTTCATGCATTTGAATCACAGATTAGACACAGATCTACAATTATGTACCATTTCCGAGACCACAGTAAAATTTATAATATACTGTTACGAACAATTTATAGAATATACATGATATGTATACATTAGTTTAAAGTTTTGTAGCGTGTTTGGTGAGCAATTGACGCTAGGTCTACACGTATTCCCGAGTATCGGTGAATACAAGTTTCAAGTGCATTTCTAGTTCTAAAAACCGTAAATACTGAATATCCATGCATATTATTAAGTATAAACAGCACTGGCTGACCTTTATAAAAGTTTGAAATGTAGAATAGGATAACAGGTAAATTGACCTAAACCACGTGTCTGCGATAAAATGTAAACGTAGTAAACCAGCATGTTTTGTTGTTCTGCAGGCGCGGATCCAGGATTTGGAGTTAGGGGGGGCGCCAAAATTAGGCAAGGGGCCTGGGGGCCGCCTTGAGGCCCCCAGTGGGTCCAGGGCAAAGCCCTGGTGGGGGCCCAGGGGGCGAAGCCCCCGGAAGCTCCTGGATTCTAGAGATTTTGAAGGGTTAAAATGAGGTCTACCAAAGCCCTGGTGGGGGTCCAGGGGGCGAAGCCCCCGGAAGCTCCTGGACTCTAGAGATTTTGAAGGGTGAAAATGAGGTCTACCAAGTAGACATATTTGATTTAAGCTAACTTTGACAATTTTAGGGGGGGCGCGCGCCGGGTGCGCCCCCCCTTAAATCCGCCACTGTTCTGTCATCGGATTGGACAATGACTAATTGCGAAATAACAACAATAGCCATATAAGGTCTTCTCGGACACACATATCCCTCTATTGTACAAAGACCCACCCATTCTCTTGCCATAAGACAAAATATTTGCACAAACCTGGCCGAATTTAGCTGTTATAGGGTCTAAAAAATCAAAGATAATGCGGTATTCCTTATAATTTAAAAGTGTCTGAACTATTGAAACTATTCAATAGGCGTCGTATTTATTCACTAGTGTTTGAAAACTACCAACATAGTCTGGTCCTGATTTTTAAAAAGAAGGCTAGAAATAACTTCTAACGGCAAATAATTATTATTTGGTCCAGCATAGTTTTTTAACCTAATTCGAGTATGCTGAATCCGAAAAAATATGCTGGCTTTCATGAAAATGGAGTTAAAGAGGTCACAAGTTTGGCTTTCCAGAAAGCCCAAAATGTCATCTCTTTGGGCTTCATTTATGTCACAGAATAAACAGTTAATTGAATATGTAACTTTTTTTCAGCACTGTCAAGTTTAAATAAATGGAGAAGTACCCTCTCTGACGACACGTGTCTGTAATTCTAAATTTATGTGAAAATATGTTTTAATTTATTATTACAACTTTTTTTTGTTTAATGTATTTAGAAATTGTTATTGTACAACTAAGCAGTATTCGAAAAATTTGTAAGCATTTTTTATACAAGAAGTTGGACAAAAACCTTAGCGTTCCTTTTGACCTTACATATACGTATTTTACAGCTTCTTACTCTGACAGCAGACAAAAGTGCTAACTTTATAATTCAGACCCTTTTCTTTCCAAAGATTTTCCTTAATCTTCTCATTCCTTTAAGTGACATGCCCATCGAACACCAATGGGATATAAAGGAGAAAATGAACTAAACTTACGTAAGAAAGTTTACTATTCAGAATTTTAACTTTTAACAGCACTGGCTAATTTGAGGGGGGAGGGGGGCAGGTTCGCCCTTTTTGTGTCCAAAATATACATAAGATTTCATAATTCATATTTTGTGTGAGGCTGTAGGCCCCTACCCTGAATCCTCTTTTCAAAGATTCCTGTATCCGCCACTGTTAACGCTTTATAAAATATAAGCACATGCACAAGGCCCTGTCGAAATATAGCATAGGATAGAGAAAACTGCCATCAAAGTAATTAACTTGAAAGCACATACAATATCAAATCTACTTTTACACACTTTTATATAGCTTATCCAAAGAAATAACGCCCACATGTTTTTAAATACAGGTAAGTAATACATTTAACATCAAATTAAGCATTTATAAATTATCTGAAAAAAGAGTCCTAATTTGCCAACTCTGAACTTAGGCTGTTTTAGGAATACAGTATTGTGCCATTATAGTGATCGTCAAAATTCACGTGCAATGCGTTTTATTCCTGTGTTATGTTTTTAGAGAAAACTTTATCTGCATACTAAAAATAAACAATTCTGTATTATAATTTTGGTTCCATTTCAGTAATATAGGAGAAGTGATTTGATGACTTTTTTGCCATTAATGCAATTTACAACTGCATAAAAAATTTGATTGCGAGTTCTTTAATTATAAACATGATAAATCCTTCAAAAGAATAGATTAGACTTGCAAAAAATGCTCATTAAGATTCTTTGCAGCTTTGAATTGTGATCAATCTTCCAATATCTGTAGTATGTTACAGATATTTATGTTAATGCGCCTATAACTTGTGCTTTTAATGTATGATTTTTTTTTACTCATAATACATTCGCTGAAACAGCCTTGTATTATTTAAGAAGAATGACGGCAATTTATAGAATCACTACAGTATCCTGTTGAAGACCAGTTTTCATGTTGTAAATTTTGCATTTACCTGCCCCTAGTAAACGACCTGATAAAAGTACCAAAAAATTAAAGTTTTCACCTTCAATTCATATCACTAAACGCGATTACTTTTGTAAATGTTAAAATAATTTTTTTTTTTTTTTTTTTTTTTTTTTGTGAATTCTTGGATCCACGCCTCGGCTACAGAGGATATTTACACACGCGCTGACCTAGTTAGAAGATTCTATCTTGTTCTGATCATCATTTACGTACTAGCCAAGAAGACTACCGAGGTATTATTAGTTACATAGTCTTTTAGTGACAGGGTATGGGATGATACCTGGTTAGTAAATTTCATACCTGGCGAGGCGGAGCCGAGTCAGGTATGAAATTTACTAACCAGGTATCATCCCATACCCTGTCACTAAAAGACTATGTAACGAATTTACCCCACCGATGAAACATTTACGTTTTATCTGTGGTTTATAAATGATTTTCTCTGCTAAATGCTTCATCACGCTTATACTGTGCCTATTATGACGTCACGTTATGTTTGTTACGTAATACATCGACCGGGTATAGATTTACAACTGACCGGGTATAAGTAATCCACCGCCTTCACGTGACAGACTTCAACCAATTGTAAGCCAGGATTTCACTGAAAAATCAACAGAGGTGGGGTAAATATAAGAACATACAGTGTACTGTATATTTTGAGGACTCCGCCACACAGGCGTTTGTGTGTGTCTAACTCTCTCTGATTTCTGTGCAGCTTGTTTTCTTTATCGATAGAAATAAAGTAGATCGCTCATTGTTTACATCTCTATATTTAGAAAATGGTATCAACTCGGTGCTCCTCGGGTGACCTCGCACTGAGAGCAGTGGATTCAGCCGAGGATTGCCGACTG